TCCCTTGCAAGTCAGGCTATTTGTCAGTCGATGTAGCAGCACTCCATTGCGAGTCAGGCTATAAGATAGTCGATGTAGCAACACTCCCTTGTAGCAGCAGGCTATAAGATAGTCGATGCAACAACACTTACCTATGTTTTAAAAATGTTTTTTAATAAAACAAAAACACCACTAATTAAAAAAAACTTTCTAGTCATTATTTTTGCGGTTTTTTTTAAAAATAATAAAATTTAATGTACTTCCGCATTAATTTAATTGCTTTGACATTTCGACGACAATAAAATGCAGCTTAAGAGACAAGGTAAAAAAATTGTATCCGAAAGAGACTTTTTTTACCATAAAAGTCTCTTTCGACTACACTATAACAGGTTTGACTATGACAGGTTTTCACACCTTTCATATTTTGTTTTGTTTGACTAAAAATAAAATTAATGTTTTTCACTTTTCACAAAATTATTATTGTATAATTGAAACTGAAAAAAATTGTTATATTTATTCGACTATATATATATATATATATATATATATATATATATATATATATATATATATATATATATATATATATATATATATATATATATATATATATATATATATATATATATATATATATATATATATATATATATATATATATATATATATATATATATATATATATATATATATATATATATATATATATATATGTATGTATATATATATATATATATATATATATATATATATATATATATATATATATATATATATATATATATATATATATATATAATAATGGAATAATGGAAAATGTAGATAATTAGTGTAAACATACGTCATAGAGTAATAAAAAACGTCAATTAGAGCAGGAGTAATAGGGTGTATTTAAAAACCTGTTTATTAAAATCAGGTTTTCCCACATAATGCTTCTTTAATTTTTAACTGATGCGAAGTTTGGGCATAGGCTAATACTGAAAAAGAGTTTTTATTGGCTACATTAAAGCAACTAGTCTTTGAATAAATATGTCGATTTATATAAGAAGTTAATGTCAAAACTATAAAAAAAAAAAAAAAAAGTTATATTTATTAGACTTATGAAATTCTTGCTATTACGACCACATATATATATATATATATATATATATATATATATATATATATATATATATATATATATATATATATATATATATATATATATACATATATATATAGGGTGTTAACTAGGAATAAATTTGATACAGCGTTTTGACAAAATAGGGAATTTGTCAAAATATTTCCCATTCTCTTCACTCCCTCCCCTGCCAAGATTAAAATGTGTTTGAGGAATGAGTGGGGACTTTTTATTATCTTCTTACAATTTCTACTCCAAATAAAAAATACAACATTTATTAAGGATGAATATGAAATCAACACAAAATTAACAATGGTATGGCAAATTAAACTTTAATTATTAAGAATTAACAATTTTTAAAATTAAAAGTTGATTATAAAGAATTAACATTAGTTAAGAATTTTATATTATTTTAATCAGTATCTATTTATTTTTATTAAAAATTACATATTTGATTTTATTTTAATCTTAATATATCATTGCCGCTTTCATTTTAAGAGCATTCTTTTGAATATATATTTATTTTTCATTGGTGGGCATTCATGTTAATGGATTTCTTTTTTGATACACGAGCAAATCGAGAAAGCAACTAAATTATTAATGCATTTCTCAAACACAAAGGAAATCCTATATGGATGAACCCTTCACCATCATGCAATAAATTGTATAAAGAATATTGATTGCAAGCAATTGCACGCTATTGTTATAACAAAGTAATTATTTGCAACGTTTTTTTAAAAAAGTTAGTCCAGATAGCAGATAGGTAAAAAAAGATTTTAGTAGATGCCGATAAGTAAAAAAAGATAATAGTCAATGAGATCACCTAATTTAATTGATATAAACTACCAAAAAACAAAAAAAACAAAAAAAAAAAAACAATAACTAAAAGATTTACTGTAATACCCGTATAGATCAAAATTTCGAAAGTATCTGACGCAAACAGCTTCTCGATATTTTGAATAAACTTAGTTAGCAAAGCACATTCATTTCACTTAATGAAATAGAGTTTGCACTAAGACTTAATAAGCAGTACCGACAACACTGGGGAGGGGGGGTTTTTTTTTCTAAAGGACCATTTTTTTTTTATTTTTTAGAAAATCCTAGATATAGAGGACTTTTTTCAGAAATTTACAATTGCATCCCTCCACTTCGAAACTTGTGTTGTCGGTCATGATAAGTTATTTGAATATTTAGCCAAAATTGAGTGAAAACTTTTAAAGAAATGGCATTTGCGGATGTTAAAATAAACATATTTGTTATTATTTTAGATTGTACCTTATTTCTTGCTAACTTTTTATATGTTTGCTGCTGTTGGAAAGCATTGCAAAAAATTATTACCAAATTTTGAGAAATTAATTTTACAAGTTGCCATAAAAATCCCTAAAAATACTAGAAAAATCCTAACTCTCAAGAAAGTTTTCCCAAGAGACATTTTCACAGTTAAGGTGAGTTTCTACTCATCTGTTCTTCTACAGGAACAGGATAGGAAAGAGCAAAAATAATCATGTGAGCATGCATAGTTT